AAGAAAAAATGCCTTATAGTTTAAGCTGGACCAAATCTAAATTGTCTCTAAATTGCATTCAATTCACAGTGAATAAATCAATTCACAGTGTGAGTCTTTGCAACCTACACAGGCTTCTACAGTGCCATTAATTATGTGGGTGCAACTCACAAGCTGCCACATAAAAGGCGCCATTAAGTATGTTGTACCTCTGGTGCTCAAACCTAGGACCTTCTGGGTGTAAGGCAGATGTGTAAAGCAGTGATAACGGCTTAACTGTGGAACCTAGGGTTTTATAGCAGCTAACTTTTTAAAAGACAGAACTCCTTCACCAAACTGACCTTTATGTCTGTCCCTCCAGGTCATCGCCGTAGTCATGGACCTGTTCACAGATGTCGACCTGCTCTGTGATCTCATGGAGGCATCTAACAAGCGACGAGTCCCAGTCTACATTCTGCTAGATGAGAAAAAGCTCAGCTATTTCTCTGACATGTGCTCAACACTTGATATCCAAAACTCACACCTCAGTGTAAGTGTCTTCTGAATATTAAATACAAAGGCTGTGGCTGTATATAATGGCTCCACAAGAGTGGATATCTCCAATTCTACAACAGTGAAGAACGCCAATCTTTTCCCTTGATAGATACATTTAAACAATATGTCCCATCAAGTTTTTTAAAGAAGCAGTTGTTTTGTATTGTTGTGAAATATTATTAAATTGTTAAATCACTTTTTCTAGTGCGTGTGTGTGCACGCTTCTGTTTGTGTGGGTAGACTATTAACATTATAATGTGTGTTTCTTTGCAGAATATGCGTATCCGCAGTGTTTGTGGTGACACTTACTGCACCAAAAGTGGCAAGAAATTCACTGGTCAAGTCCTGGAAAAGTTCATGATTATCGACTGTGAAGAGGTCCTTGCGGGGTCGTACAGGTTAGGCACACGCACGTACCTGTAAAGAAAAATACAGAAAAAACAATCAGTAATAGCAGTGCACAATTCCAGTTTTACCAGTTTATTATTAAGTGTTGTTATGCACAGACTTTGCATGGTCAGTTGTGTTCAAACTAAAAGTAAATTGACATTGAAGATCATGTTATTTCAATACATTTACTTGTTACATTTTTGTTTGTTGTGCCACTATGTTCAGTATCTTGGCTAAAAAGGTTGGGAAAACACTGTTCTGGTGAAGTAATCCTTGTTGGCACACACACACACACACACACACACACACACACACACACACACGATGCAAGCTTTCCTAATTGCTGCTGGCGGCTTTAATTTACAATATTAATTTTTTTGAGTTCTTTTGGTTATTGGTTGTGTCAGATTCTCTCTCTTTCACTCACACCCACCCTTCTACAGTCGAACCACTGTCATGGGAACCACATGAGTGACAGACTTCTCAGCCACTAAATGTCAATACTTTCACTGGCAAAAAAACTGGGGAAACAAACTTTATAATATTATTAAATGTGACTAGTAGGCTCTTTTATAGATGTTAAAACACACCACCATTTGTTGGTAACAGAAACACTACTTTTTCAACCTTGTTTTAAACTGGTTCTCCTGCCCAAGTGCTAAGAAAAGGTAACCTTCACACAACTGGTTTTTACGACATAGTTCTTCGGACTACACTATAATGTACACGTACATTTTTTTCTTACACCTTTAGACGTCACCCTTGACACCGTGATGAACAAATACTTACCTAAACCAACAGGTTCTTCCATTCTTTTCTCAGAGGGCTGTTTTTTTTCTTTTCTTTTTTATTTGTGTAGTACAATTCTCTTTCATATGAACACAGCTTTAGTAAGGTTATGATATTTTTAAAGACAATTTCATGCGTGGGTTGATAAAACTGGTTGATAAAAACTCTTACACCCCTAATTTACATGCTGCCGCCTCTACAGCTTGATCTGGTTTTTGTCTTTCCATCTTTCTTAGCAGTTTGTTTACCTGCATCGTAAGATGTTAGTTTTCTGTGTATGTGACAAACGTCTACCACAGCGCCATATACAAATGTTTAAACAAATTGTCAGAAATTGTCAAAAGGCAGATAAGAATAGCCAAAAACAGACGTAAATGTTCCAGTCAATAGAGCAAAGTTAGCATAGTGTGGCTACAGACGTGCCAGAAATACAACTAAATCATCAATCAAAAGGCTAGAAGTTTGGCACAACGTTCAAATATCTGTGGTCAAAAGTTTTGGCTATTTTGGTAATTTCACACTGGCCATGTACACTGAATTCATACTTTTTTACTTTCCTTTTTTTAAACTTTGTGCTTTGTTTTTGTATGAGCTTTACTTTTAGGAACATATTTTTGTTTGATGATTTGTTTACATTATTAGTTTGCAATAGTGCAGGAGATAAAGATAAATCTGTTTAGCAGCTGTCTTCTGGCAACCATTTTGTGATAAAAGCATCTTCTGTTGAAGTGAAATCTCCCATTCTGTATATTGTATGTGTCTCTAGTTCACACAGTCTAATAAACCAGCTGTTTGTCCTCTTTCTTTGTCAGTTTTACCTGGCTGTCAAGTCAGGTTCACAGCAACATGGTGATGCATTTCTCTGGCCGCATCACCGACAGTTTTGACCGGGAGTTTCGCTGCCTCTACGCTGACTCACAAATCATCGACTGCTTCTACAACCCAGAGGAGGAAGGACTGCCTTACTATCCATCCTATCAGGCCATAATGATGCCCGGTATAGGCATGGGGCTCGGTCCTGTCATGGGGCTCGATCTACTCGCCGACAGGTATAAAACTGTAGTCCGGTTACATTTATTGAAAATGAATTAGCTTAAAGTTACTGGTTAGTTTTTGGACACAAAGTTTGAGAAAGTTTGAGGACAACATTTCTCTTTCTTATCAGTGAATTGTCCAACTAATCCGACTAAGATTCTTATGGAGGTTTCCTAAAGAATAATGAATAATAAAAAATAATAATGAACTAATTGTAATGTTTCCTTTTTCAGCAAGCAGAGGGACAGGGTGTGTTCAGAGAATTCCAGCAGCCAATCGAGTGACAGCGTCTCCAGTGTGAAGGCAGCTCCTGGAATGAGCTCTAACACCGTCTACAAGGTCACCCACAACAAAAAGGAGAGCAGTAACTCTCACCTTAGCCCAGAGCGGAGAGGTGTTGGCGGGGGTGGTGACCAATCAGGAGGACATGTCCCAACACCAACATCACGTATTAATGCTAATGGCACAAGCAGTGCCATTCAACCCCCTGAGCGGCCTCAGCCACCCACTTACGGGCAGCCAATGGGCATTGAGTGGAACAAACCTATTGCAGCAGACGTCATGAGGGCAAACATCAGTGGGACGACCTCCAAGTTTCAGGCACTGGGATTGTATGACCACAAGCCAAGTATGTTCCACGGAAACCCCAGTTCAAACCTAAACGCAAGAACACAGGCACCTTCCCCAGTGAATGAGGGCAAACTCACCTCCAAACACAGGACTTCCTCTAACCAGTTGCTCAATAAACTGTCAGACCTCTTCCTGCCGCCCTCCACCAAGGACAAAGAGGCCAACAACTTCTGGAGATCACAATCCCCTCAATGTCCTTCACCCTGGGGTGGACCAGACCTCTCTCAGTCTGAACCTGAAAGCCAACAGAGCCCACCTCCCCCACCTGCTCCGGCTGAGGTGTGGAGCCGTCAGGACCAAAAGCGAATGACTCTGGGCCACAGCAAACTGGACCTGGTGAATCAGTACAACAAGATGAAATCCAAGCAGGTGTACAGTCGCTTTGAGCTAAAGAGCACAAATTCATGACAGGGGCTCCTCTTCCTTTAATTGTAGATTGAATTTTTTGTTTTTTTACAAAAGAAAACTGCATTTAAAATTCAAAGTTCATCTACGTATGTGGTTCACAATGGCTCCAGAAGTCTTCTGTTTGTTCTTGAAACCAATGAGCCTCATAATTGTTTGGGGGCTTAGCACAGCATTAGTAGCACTAAGGCATCCAACATACCATAGTAACTTATTTCTGCAAAATGACAGAATTCAAAAAGATCTTATGACATCAACTAAAAAAAAAAATCTAGAATTGATTTCTGTCTGACCAATTATAATATAAAATGGATAAAAATGAAACAATGGTTTGTGCAGTGTGACATGTTCAGGAAGTAGACCGCAGTTCAAACACTGTTTGTCTAAACGTGCAGCCATCAGCAGAAGGCACTCTCAGGGATGCTCGACTTTTGTCTTCTTTGCCCACTTGTAAAAGAAACGGTTTAACTTTAAAATGTTTTCCCGTTTACAAAGCAAGTTGACAATCTTTCACATATGCATGCAACATACAATACAAAAAAAAAAAAAAAAAGCAATATTTTCAGTCTAGTAAGTCTCTTGAGGTGAATGTTTCTGTTGAACTCAAAATAAATAAGGTTCAGTTTTGCTCTCTGAACATTAGTCCTGGTGTGCTTGTGCACACTGCTCGTTTAGATTTGACACACTATTCTTCCAGCCATAAAACAGCAACACAAAAACATCTACAAACTGTATCTTGTTATTCAGTTTCCAAGCCCAAAATACAAAACTGAACTGCTTAGCTCTGTAAGGTGGCTCACCAATTATAAATGCCTCTGTGGCTGCACACAAAGAACAGACTGCTTCTTACATTGACTCCAATCTAGCATGAAACACAAACGTCTTCATTTTATCCTGTGCGTCTGTTCTAATAAATGAGTAGCAACAACAACATTACATCCCTTGCAGTAATTATAAAATGTAAATTTCCTGACTTTTTTATTTCCCACAAATAGATGGGAAGCTCAAATCTTGAGGCAGAATGTTGGAAGAACTTCCAAATAACCTTTAGAACGGGTCCTCTTATTCTGCCTTCTGGTTTAGAAACACTTGTGAGAAGAAGCAAATCATGAAATCTCCTTTTAAATTTGTTTAAACATAATACTGTAATATAATTAAACCAGTGTTGGAATGTGTAACTAAATCAGGGTGTGTCCTACTCAACTGACTAGCTAACCAACAACACGACGACAGAGTCTTCTGGTACTTCCACAACCACAGAGCTCTTACAAACATTCTTTGAAATGCTTTGGGTGTAAAGCAGTATTTATATTTTCATAATCCAATATTGAACAGCCAGATGCCTCTAAAAAACTTAATCTGAATAAGTCACAGAAGTGTTGCATTAATCCTGATGTTCTGATGGTGTAACATCTTTAAGGGTAAAGTTGTTTTGTTTTTTTTGACATTTTTATGTAGGGCAGAACCGAAGCGCGAGCACATAGCTTGTTGTTTAAGGGAACAGGCTTGTTATTGGGTGGATGGGTTAACTGCAGATTCATTTCTCCATATGGGATTACTAGTTCATACCGATTCATTTCTCCATATGGGATTACTAGAAGACTTCAACAAATTGGCTTTGTTTGAATTTGATGAGTTACTACTTGAGAATTTGAGAAAAAGTTTTACACTTTTAATGACACGAACTGTACCTACATCAGGGGGCGGGTCCTCTCTGTCATTACATACTGTATGTCCATAACTGACATACAAAACAGGCCACTTATGTGATTTCAACTAACAATAATATTAATACCCTTCTTATCGTGCTTGGGTAGCGTAGGCTGTGTATTGTAAGATGTAAATTTACTACTACAGGCCACTGAAACCTAGGCTAGGACCATAAACACTAGCATTTTCACTTTTTAAGCAGAAGATTGTACTTCTTGTGTACATACTTGTGCAATCATTTGTAGGTTTGTACATACGGTATGGACTTCACATGACATTATGTTTTGATTTTTATATATCAATAAATGAAATGTATATTGTTTTGCATTTGTCTTTTTAAGATGTGAGGTAATTTTCCAGCACTAACCCAGCGAGCATTGGAATATGGGTAGACCGAAATGTTGGGCCTAACGTGAACTTTTTGTATGTAGAGAAAAGACCACGAACCACATGTGACCCACTTTGTATCCAAATACCTCCCCAAAAAGCCATGTGTGGCCCAAGCAAATATGTTTACTGGACACAAGCTCTTAAAGAGTTACTCAAAGGGCAGCGCTGCAATTACAAAACCTGAATTTTTCAAAGACAATTATTGACACATTGATCACTTTTTTTATGTGTGTGTGTGTGTTGTTGTTTACTGCTCTTTGGTATTTTTATGCATTCATTCTATTGTAAATAAGTACATAAAATTAAATGTTTTGAATTTTGGATTCTTGTTTAAGAAACACTCCATCAGTTGTTGGTTTGTTTATGGTATTTTTACAATGTATTATTTACTGAATAATGTGAACTTTTGTTAGTTGACTGTTGAATAAAGGTCTAATAAAAGAAAGAAAGACAAATCCGTTATTAGTCTTTGTCATCTTTACAAAACATTTATTCTTAACATTTGAGTTTTGTATTATTCTATGTTCAGTTTAAACTGTTTTGTCTCCATTTCTTGGGTTCTTCATTCTTTGTTTTTGTGCTGTGCTTTCTGACAGGAAATCGTACCAACAACCCCCTTTGTTCTCTCCACAGTGCCACCAGCAACAGTTCAAGAGTTTCTTATCCCAACAGACTCATTCAGCTAGGCTGTCACAAAGACTCCGTCTACCTTTTGTAATAGCTTTGTATATACACTGTCTACTGTGTGAAAGGTGAACACTGCTGACCTTACACAAACCTCAGCACTTTGTATTTGTTAATATGTTCACAAATCCTGTGAATAATGTAAAGCCCATCCATATTCATTCACTCCATACTCTACCATACTCCACTCCACTGTGTACGGTACTGTGCAAAGGTTGCAGACCTGTTTCAAGCAAACAGAGAAACACGCTTGTTCTCAACCGGTCTAACATTATTTAAGCAGCTGTGAACCTTTGTACACCACAGTTAAGGACTGTAGTCCTACAAGGGGTGTGAGATAATATTGCTATACCAATATACCAAAATATTTTGTTTGACATTTTACAGCCATGCATTACTTAATTTTTTTTTAAATAAACAATTAACATACAGACAATTACATTATATAGCCATGCATTAGTTTTTATTCATTTTTTTAAATAAACAATTAACATACAGATGTTCATGTCCTTGTTTTATTTTATTTTTGCTTTATTTCTTATCTAACAATCACAATTGTAGCAAGTAACAGCATAGTGTGTTAATATGCTGACAGTTTTCCTACAGTTACCTTTAGTATCGCAGTATATTACAATACATCTTATCTTTGCCCCTGTATCGTGACACATATAGTTTCGCCAGATTTCTGCTAATACACGCCTCTAAAACCTACACACCTGTCCCAAGTCCAAGTCATTAATAAAAGTGCCTGGCAAATGTGCTCAGAGTTTGACAGGCTGCACCGACTGTAAAAAAAACTCTACACGTTTGAACCTGAACCACACACAATGTATCCACTACAGCTGCTGTACATACACAACACAAAGAACTAAACTAGAATCTGGGAGTGTTCATAAGGTTCATTTTACCAACCTTAACTATCTTAACTATGAGTACTTCACAGGCAGCCATATTCCCAATATCCACTGCAGGTGGCAAAACAAATAAATACAAACTGACATTTACTAACATTTCACTTGCATCACACAAGTGTAAAATAAGGATGAACAGCTTGACGAAAGACTAAAGGTGATGTTTTTAAGGGGTTTGTTCTATGTTGTAGGGACAAATTGCTAACAGTAGATCCTTTAGCTAACTTTCCAGAGATACACAAAAGAAAAGGTTAGATAAGATTTAGATTTTAAGATAAGATAAGATAAGATTTTTGTGTTAAAATGCCAAATGTTAAAAACATAAACTGTGTTAAAATGCCAAATGTTAAAAACAAAGACAGAAAGAAAGAAAAAAACAGACACACAACAGACACATTTGAATATGGATGTTCCCCAATAACAGCTCTATGTGAACAAACCAAAATGGCTATGGGATACCTGGTTGTTTTTTCTCCACTGCCATTGCCCTAGGTTGTCTGAATGTTGTGCAGTAAGAGGTGGCACATCAGGTTTGATGTTTTTATTACATGCTCTACATTCCTCTCCACAGACCAGAGTTTGTTTAGTCAAATCCTGGGCGTGACACTTGGTGGATTTAGCTCTGAAAAGGTTGATCACTGAACTCAATGGAGTTCCTGTCGGAGAGGGATGAGGTGCCATTCATGTTAGCACTGTAATAGATGTAGCTGCAATGGAGAGAAATTATCATGTAACTTGTAAATTATAATTGGTGTTTAAATAATAAAACTGTAGTTAGTTAGTATAGTTAAAAACAGTAATTGAACATGCTGCCTACATACATACATATTAAACTGTGTAATAGTTAGGCTATATAATAATAATGATATATATATATATATATCTGTTTTGCCTTAACATACTGACACAAACTAGTGAAATAAAGCAGCAAAAGCAATGTTGTACATTTACATATGTAACTGGTCAAACTTTAGATTCTTTCTCAATCAATGTATGACTTGTTCAGCTATTAATAGGAATTGTAGGATAACAGTGATTATCTTTTACCTATCACCCAATCAATCAATTGATTGACTTCTAATATAAAGAACATCATATTGACCCCACTTTAATTAGGAGTATTTGATTTAAGGTTGGGAGGAAATACTGAAATGTGCAGGTGTAATCAGATTAAACACTACAAAGACCCTTGTGTTTGCGGAGAAAAAAAGAAGTCCTCTCTATGGGAGAGTGATACAGAATCCAGAGACGATGTCAGAGCGTGAAACGCGAGCAGAGAAGCTTGAGTTACCTCAATGGCCCTACAAACAAGCTGTAGCTCCCTGACAAAGCGTGATCCAGGATTTCTTTCTGCTCCTTTTGTGTGTCACTGGTGATATTGGTGCCATCAGCAACGCTGTCAGATTATCAATTAAGAACAGAGTAGGAATTCTTAAATACCACTATGAATAATTGTGGCCTTGATGGAAGACACCGCAGCACAAGTTGATAAGTAATTAATTTAAATAAATAATACATAAGGTGTGGTACAGGCTGTATATGCTGCACATCTTCCTGCTGGATGCAGCAGCACTTCCTGCAGCCTTATTGTGTGTGTCTTCAGGAAGCAGCCTTTCCTGGCTTTCAGGACTATTTTCTGCTCTCCTATTGTTTGTTAAAATGTGTGTTACTATTTGTGTACGTCTAGTCCATTCTAATGTAAGAGTGATTTTATAACCAAAGTCTGACGTCAAATAAATAAAAAAGAGATAAATACTTATCTGAAAGATGTTAGCCAACCCAAAATATTAAATTTGTACTTATCTAAAAGATGTTAGCCAACCCAAAATATTAACCAGAAAAACTAAAAGTGAACTAGGAAGTAATTACTTGTAAAGACAAAATAAAAAGCTGTCTAAAAATCTAAACTCAAATATTCTGCTTCTAAATTCTTTAAAATAAAGACAAAAATAAAACAGTGATGTATATTATTATTATTACTCCCCCCCCCCATCATTTTTGCCCATACCTGTTTTGTTGTTGTTGTTGTTGTTTTTTGGTTTTACAAATCCTTAGAAACTTTGCTTAAACTTCACAAAATGACGTATAATTTAAATGCTAACTTAAGCCCTCAGCCGAAAAGATTTCCAAAAACTACTAAATGAACCTCCAAAACAGTCAGGGAATTCTTTCAAAGGCAAGGAATCAATACCAAACTGCCCTGTACTTGAATAATAAATCCACTAGATGGCAGTACTTTGATAAAGTTCTAACGTTCTCTTTGCATCTGCAGGACCATGTTTATTAATTTACTAGACAAACAATAGACGTGTGAAAATGTGTGTTTATAAATTCAGTAAATGCTTTGATTTATTTTTATTTTATTTATAAATCAGTGTCGATATCAAAGAGGTTTTTTCTTTCTTTGAATATTAAGAACAATCTCAAACTGCAATCACTCTGTTAGTCTTTTCTTTTCTTAATTTATAGCAAAAAAGAAAAGCATCACATATGGATAAGTACGGGTGCATAAAAAATGTTTACATAAAAAATCTAAATATTGTAAATATATTAATGAATTGGCTTAGGCGACTCAGTCAAGACATGTTTTGTTTAGCCAAATGTTAAGAAAAAGGGAAAATGCATGAAAAAAGGGGGAAAAACTTCAACCATTTGAATACAGTTTGTTTTTGCAAACATTGTTAACTAAGGCAAAATAGGCCAGAATTTCTGAAAATGTAATATTTCCGTTTTATTCATTATCCGAGGCTGAACGATGTTTTATTTTGAAAAACTTCCGGATGCTCTCCACCGCATCTGTCTACGACTCGCACTTGATACATGTCAAGATGCTTGCCTCGGTCACATGTCTTACCTACATCCGCTACCTTCTTAAAAGTGCTGCTCCAACCGGAAATAATAATACATTGCCGCTAAATTGAAACACCTGAGCTAGCAAAATTAACAAAAAAACAAACGTCTCTGGAAAGTTTCTTTGCGCAGGGTAAAGACAGCCAAGAGCCTTAGTTTAAATACAACAAAACCACTAAGCAAAGGTACTCGATGTACCTTTCTGGACACAATGGTAAGATGAAAAAAAAACAATTTAGTGTTTCCCTTACGATAGTCTAGGAAACATACAACACGCGTTGTACACACCTACACTGTGTGCGTGTTAAAATCTTATATTTTTGAAAACAGAGCTAAAGTGGATTGTCGGCAAAATCACTCGAACGGGTGCATACTGTATATAAATCTAAGGACTTACCTTACCTCGGAGATTGCGTCGGTGACTTCTTGCCGAAGAAAACTGAGACTTCCTCCCAACGTTCGCGGTCTTCTATTTGCTTTTTTACCGGCTCATTAGCGCTACCTTTTGGTCCGGAGGGATTTACGACACTCCCTACAAACCATGTTAACAAGCAAAATATAAATGAACTGTATTGCTTTCACTAACTTCACTTTTGTAAATTCAAAGACAGAGTAGTTCCACTTTTTCTGTCCATGCAAGAATAAAAGTGAGTTTTTATCTGAGGCTGTTTTTAATGTAGCAAGAATTATATAATTATAATTATATATTAATTGATAACTAATTTCATAAGACTAAATTAACAAAGATTAAACACAACCCTACAAGTCTATTGGGAATGGGTTACAGACAGTAAATTTATTTTAAAAACATTTGTGTGTGTGATCTCTGAGAGTGGTTACGTTTTTAATAAGTATTTTAAAAGGCCTTTTGGTTCCATTTTAAAGCAGGTACAGTGCGGTGTCCAACAGCAACCAGCCACAGCTGTTAGTCAGCCACTGCTATTATATGACCGCTTCAGGTCACATTTCATTTCTAAGAGGAAGCCCCCATTCTTTCCCTGCTCCCCTCCTTCCTCCATCGACCTGTTTTTTATTTCTCAACAATGTCCGCTCCAGCTTTAGTTCATGAATTAATTCAGGACAGGAGAGAGAAAATCAGCCTTTAAAATGCTTCATGGTTTCTTCAGCTTAAAGAAGATAAGACAATGATTAATTCACATTTTCTCACCTATAAAGATTTAAATGTATTTTGACAAAGTCTTATTTCCATTGTGTTAGACAATTTCATTTTTAATCGCTTCTTTATATGATGCTCACAAACTGTCTGAAGTAGTGACCCAGGGTTGCATTCACTGTTTGTTCTACCTGAATAATGATGGTTTTGTGGATAAATGTAAAAACTTAGCTAATACTGATACTGATATGTGAGGTTGCTAAAACCAATACTCTCAAGTATCGAATAAGAAGTAACAATCATACATTTTTCACATTTGTTATTTATTTTCACTAATAGGAAAATAGTAATTCTGGTATTTAAAAAAAAAAGAAAATAAATATCAAAAATGCCTTTTTGTCCACTAGACGCACGAGCGGGAGAGGCGGAGTGGATGATGATGATGATGATGATGTGAGTCCATGTCTGGATGGAGGTCTGTAGATGCAGCAGCCTGGAGAGGATGGCTCACAAAGACTACACTAGTTGAGACAGATGTCACCGTCTGTCAGTGTGTTGGCATTCACCACAATACTTACAGTATTCAATGAACAGTAACATGTAGCATGTCCTCAATGTTAAGAAACAAAGGCATAGAAATGAGTGCCGTATACGAGAGCTTTGCACCGCTGTATGTGAAAGTGCTATAGTTTTCTTTAATCCAACAACAAAAATGCTTCTTCATCTCATATACATTCACCTCCAGTTTGTTAATAACATCTGTTTGTTGAACTGAGACAATAAACTTGTGTAGGTTTGACTTGTGTAGCCTTTAGTGTGGACGTGTGGTGAAATCCAACAACACAGTGTATCGCAGTGACTGCACCGACCGGAATAACATTTCGGTTCCTTTTTAAAAACCTTTCTGAGACAATTGCAGTGATTTTGAAATCACAATCATCAAGATGAGACTTAGACCTGGAGAAACTCCTAGAACTGGTTTGATCACAGACTCACCAAAAACCAGATAATCTCCAGAAAAGCCAGTAGCTTAATGCAGTGGTTTAAAAAAATATCGGTATATAATGGCTACAAGCTTTAGTACATAACATTTAGTATTATAATACCAATAACAAACTAGATGTCAACAACCTTATTCCACACGTCCCTCATAACCAATATAAGTGTTTGCATTGTTTCTGTTACTGTAGAGCACCATTGCACCATTGAAGCACCCAAATATAGCATAAGACCTGGTTAGCTTTACAGGCCGTAGAGTTCAGCTGCACAATGATTTCGTAAGGTTTACTTACAGCAAACAGCTTATAAACTGTCATGCATCGCAGGTGGCGTTGTTCATGCTCTGACATGTGCTGGGATTCATGGTTTGGCAACCACCCAGCTGAGTTTCAAGATAAAACAAGAGCAGTTACACAGTAACATTATTAACAGTAGGGATCCTCTCAGATTTAGTGACAAAGGCATTCCCAGACATTAGTATGTACACGATCGTATGGTAAGGTAATGGTTGGATTAATGTGAAAAAGGAAGAAAGAAGGAATTGTGAGCTGCATTTAACTGAGAGTGCAGCAACAAGCTTCATGTCACTGAATCAGCATCTCAACATTCACTTCAGGAGATATACTGGTTATATAGTGTTTCAATATGGACCTAAACAGGTTAGTCCTTCTGTGTTGAACTACCATGTATATTGTGTTTATGTCCATTGTATGAATTCAATTCTCTAGAGAATAGATCACTTTTACAATGTATGAATTGTGAGAAACCTTATCCATGTGGGCCATGAAGGCTGAGACTAAAGGCCAAATGCAAAACAGAGAACAGATAGTCTGATCTCTGATTGCAGGCGCTGTCATCACCGTTACGACAGCAAACCTACACTTAGATTAGCTCGGTAACAGACACAAAGACTGCAAAGAGGCCCTTTTCAGTAAACTGTTTCCAGCCTGTTCCTATGTTTTCGTGCGTGTGTTAGGGAAGGCCAGGAAATCCACTTCCAGTTGAGTATTTCCTGAGGTGGTTTATAGCTTAGTTAAGGATGAGCCAGTCCTAATGAACAGGCAAAATGTCAACAGCAAGGAGCAGAAAAAAATAGACACCATGGTGAAAACTGTAGCCAGATTTTTGTCTGTCTAAGTTCTGCTAATGAAAGCACCACAAGTCCTGAGGAAGACCCAGGTCCCACCCTGGTCACAGCAGACAGGATGCAGGGCAGGCATTAGGCCACAAGGCGGCGTCACATGGTGGGTCTGATGATCCTGCTTGGCCTGGAACCACGGTGGACCTTTGTGTGTTTGGATAAGTGGTCACTGCGGGCAAACTTTTTTTCACACACTGAGCACTCGTACGGTTTGATGCCAGAGTGAGAGCGACGGTGACGGGACAGTTCATCAGATCGGGAGAACCTGGGGATGCAACAGAAGATGAGAGGATCACCATTAGGGAGTGGAAGTGAGAAGAGCACTCCTCGGCCAAAAACTGTAAAAACACACACTTCACAGATCTATATGGACGATTGTTAGAACTGTAGTAATCCCTAAGGACAGGGTTGTCAAACTCCAATTTACAGTGGGTCAAAAATAATAACTGTGATGAAGTCTCGGGCCAAAACATTTATTGAAAAATTGACGGCAATTGTTCTTTTCTGACATGTAATGTAGATTTTTTTTCACATGGACTTTTTAAATTTTGCATAAATATTAAATCTGAATCAACCAAAGCTTAATATTATAAACAGAGAAATTAAATTTGAAATAAAACATCAGTGGTATTTGTTTCTTATTGTGTCTCTTTATCTGAAGCCTATCAAGTTCCTTTTTAATGTAAATCTTTTTTTCACAGGCCAACAACAAAGAAAAACAAAATATAACATAGTGCATCCACCTCTAATACTACAAATCCAGACCAACTCTAGTTCACATTTGATATGATTTTGCAGGCCAAATATTGCTGAGTTTGACACGTGTACCTTAAGAATTCTGTATGTGAAAAAAAAATAAATCAATACCAATTCAAATGATGGCTTTGTTAAGTGCAGATAACAAACATCAAGTCATGTGATGAATTAAAAAACTGCACTCACCACATGTTATCTTATTTCACTGTGTGCTCTGAGCTGATGTTTTATATTTCACTGGACTGAGGTAGTGTCTTAAATGTAATACTACCTTCTTAAATCTATGTTATTTAAATTTCAATGACTTCTTTCACACATCAGTTGTAAACAGATTTCTGTCTCAAAAAACAATATAAAATGTCAAATTAACACCATGTGTTTTGAGAGAGTGGGTAACTGTGGTTTTGTATCAAATGATTTTCAATAATACATTGACCTGCAGCATACATTCAAAATGCCAAATTTATAAGTCATGATTGGCTGCAGACAGATATATTAGGTAAAGCAAATTTCCTTTGAATTTTTGAAAGCAATGACAAAGAGCAGATACCAAATAAATATCCAAACGTACATCTTTTTATATGTAGAAACTATTTCAGTTTTTTAGGATTTATTTTTGAACCTCCCATGTACCCAGAGGTAAAACAACTCTTTTTCAGATCACTACGTTTACTAGATCTTCACCTTTGTTCACTGTCAAACTCTGCCTACCAGGGCTTTAATACTAATCCATGCACATTTCCCATAATGCCACACACCTCCAGTCACAGTCAGGCCAGCTGCATGTGTAGGGCTTCTCTCCGGTGTGCCGGCGGAAGTGAGCTTTTAGATGGCTGCTTTTCGTGTACATCTTTCCACATCCTGGGTGGGAGCACTTATGGACCCTCTCTGTGGGTGTTGTTTTGGCTGCCCGGGGGTCCACAGCCTTCAACAAACCACCGCCTTGGGCTCCAACCCCAGTGAGACCCACAATCTCCACAGTATTCATTTTGATGGGCAGAGGTGCGATCTTGACATACTTCTGATCAGCTGATTTTGTGTCTCCACTGCTGAGTGCTATAATGGTGGCGGGTGAGGAGGGCACCTGGGGGGCCAGTAGAGTAAGATTTTGTCCCGAGGCGCCCTGGAGCCCCATGAAAAGATGAGTGAGCCAAATGCCATTCTGGACTCCAGGAGGAGACCTTGCAGGGGGTTGAGGCTGGGTCACAGGGAGAGGCTGGAGCTGGAGAACCAAAGGTGCACCGAGCAGCATGGAGGGAGATGAGGTGGAGGGTGAAGTGGACACTTGAGGAGTGTCAGCGGGGCTTGGGCTGCTCTGTTCATTTGGGGGGGAATTTGGGCTACAAGTGCGGTGAGAGACATCTTTCTCGGGGTTATGATTGTCTGTGAGGGTGGAGACTGGAGGAGCAGAGACACATATGGAGTTGCATGGAAGAGCTGTTTCCTCTTTCGACACCATCAGACTTTCTTTCACTATTTCCATCTTTTCCCTCAAGAACTCCTCTATGTCCTCAAGGGTTGGGGTAAAAGGAGATGAGTGTTGGAAAGAGAACTCTGGAAGCTTAGGCAAGTCAGCAGGATTCTCCTTCCCTGGTCCTACAATCCTGACTTGCAGGATTCTCCTTCCCTGGTCCTACAAAAAGTTTCAAGCACGCTCCTTCAACTTCCTCCTCTTCCTCATCTTCCTCCTCTCCTTGGCTGGAGCTGTGCATGGCTCCTAGGTCCCCTGCCTCCGGACTGTCACAGGAAGCTACGCTAGCTTCCTCGCTGCAGGCTACATCTTCCAAAGCACGGCTAAACAGGCTGTTGCTACCGTGCCTGTACAGTTCACTGTCTAAACCCAGGGTTCTGCTGCTGAGAGACACCATTGATCCAGGGCGGATGCAAAACAGAAGGTTTCAAGAAACCTTGACCCAGAGGAGCAGTCACAAAAAACCTGGAAATATTCAAACGCAATTCATGAATTAGTAAATACAATACATAGTACACACCTTCATTTTGGAGCATTTAAGAACAAGAAATGAAACCAATGAAATATAAATGTTAACTATAAATATACATATATATAATAAACAGAAAACCAGAGAAAATCCAGTCCAGAAAAGTCAATCTTACTATGATCTGTGAAGGGACCGAAGACCAAGAGTTACATAAATAAACTCCACTGAGTTGATGAAGCACCACAGTTAGAGAACACACACACAGAGACCTGTTAAGTCCTCCTTCTTTACCCACTCTAGAAGGCAGTACAGGCGACTATACATTAAAAGTGTGTGTACAGTTATGGATAATAAAGAGTGTGACCTGCTTCCCTCTGTGAGGTTCTGGGAAAATATACAGAGTCTCATTGTCTCTGTAATAATAACATAGAGAAGTCTTCAAAAGCTGTGTGAATGTCAGCAGGTAGCTGTGACCAGTGATGTTTACCATAGCAGGGCTGCCATGTCCCATACACAAAACACACACACACACACACATATGTTTACTTTGTAGCAGAAATACCATCTTAATTGAGTAAAAACACATCATCTTCCATACGAAATTTAAATCAAATTTGTTTGGATATTCAACGTGTATGTTTGGTTAAGTTAACATCAGCTTTATTAACTACTAAAGAGTGGCTGCTTTATTACGGGAGGGAAAAATTGAAAAATGACATTTAATGTTGTCAAAAGAGTACTGTGAACTTTTCTGCAGAACTGTACTCTGTTGCGGGTACTTTTAATAAGTGAGCGGGCAGTGAAAACCGGACCGAGAGGAAATAGGTCGAATCGGCCAAACAAAAACAAGTAATTATGTAACACAGAAAGTGGGCCATTTAACAACGGTCAGACCACTGGAGTTTTTCCAACACCTTCCAGGTTTGACTCCAGTGTGGCAGCAGCCACGGGACTGTATCAACGTCTCCGTTTTATTATGAAACCGCAGTTTGTTGCTGTTGTCACAGCGCAGGCACATGTTGCAGCAGGGCCTTAAACATCACATGGTGGGCAGACCAGGCGCAGCAAAAACATTACGGCCCGCACTGACGCGCCCATTAACGTATAGCGAGAAACAAGTCTCAACGAGGAAGCAATCCGCCTACGTACAGGCGAGATCTGTGTCAACTAGGCGGACACTGGGCAACTAAAGGACCCGCATGCTGAAATTTTTGCCTGCAACGGAATTCGCCAACCAGGGTCATAAACGTTATGTTGTGAGGAAACGAACGAGAGGATCCGGGACATTTTGCTCAACCTACCCTGTGCGGTAGGCTCGCTGGGCAGCAGCAGTGGCGTCGACGTCGTTCTTTATTCTCTCTTCTGTCTTTTCTTCGTCGTGTTATTGTCGTGGCAGGATCACGCGTCCCGTCCTTGCCACGGGTCCATGTTGGCATTCTTTCTCCAGTGGTCACGTGAACACCTCGCTACAAACTCAGAGGCACTGAACCTTTTCCGCGCCTCGGATTGGCTAAAAGCCATGGAGGCTCGCCCTAAAAGGTGTGCTGTGATTGGCAGACTCTCGATAAATTCTGACCGCCATGTGTTTATGGAGGGATCAGTGTTTAGAGCATAAACGGTGACTATTCATACTCCAGGACTCTTTTAATGTAATACCTACTGTATGCGAATGTATGCACTTTTCGACGAAATGATGCAACAATACAGAGTCCGTAAAAACAGTATGACAGGAACAGACCTCAGTTATCAGACAGAGAGAGTTCAGGAAACTAAAATATCTTTACATTTTATTCTCAAATCAAACATTTGCACATGGCAGACGCATACAAACACACACGCTAAAAAAGAACACACACACTTCATGGAGAAAGACCTGGAGACTGTGATCTTTTTTTTCTTCTGCTTCCTCTTCTCTGTCTCCTTTAATCTTTTATTATCATTGTTATTGTTAATGTTTTTGTTATTTAAGTCCTAATAATAATGCATTTTCTTATAGAACACTTTTATATAGTGGTCACAAACAAGAGTAGATTAAGACAGAGCACCAAAAAAAACAAACAAAGAAATATTATAAATAACAAAGCAGTAAATCAGACGATCACACGGCCTCAGACTGATGACCTCTGCTTTGTGTCTTCTGTGATGGGATCTACTCCTACTGTTGTTCAGGAAAATCAGTTTTATCATTACTGTTATCAGGGCTACACAGTAGAAGAAGCAGTTAGTTCTCTTTTCTTACAATCAGACGGGGTTAGGGTGACTGGAAACTCCAAAGTGACCATAGGTTTATATGAATGACTGTCTCTGTGTGTGGTCCAGTGATGGACAAGTGAACTGTCTGCGTGTACCTCGCCCTCTTCTGATGACTACCAGGATGGGCTCCATCCTCCCTGCAATCCTGAAAAGGATCAGGTTTGAGAAGATGAATTAATTATTATTATTAAGGCAAAAATGGAGTTTTGTCACATTGTAAGAACAGAATTCCGATGTAAAGTAAGGACCGCCTGTAGTGGCTCCTGGTTTTTACACAATAAAGGAAACCCCTCTTAGATGTATCACACTAACTGAGACAACCTGTAGTGAGTGTGTGTAGAGGACACACACACACACACATCTACATAGAAATTTGATTTCAGTACCATTAGTTGAAATGTTACACAGGTTCATTTATTTGTGTGTTGAGTTCAAATGAGTTTTGCGAGTCAAACTCTTAGCTACAAACCAAAACATAGAAAAAAATGTGTCAAAATGGTCCCTACACTGCAGCAACCTCCACAGAGAAACAATGAGACTAGTTAATGAACAACCATAGTAAAACTGGAAGGTCAGTTGAATCCCTGTAAAGTATTATTATTATTATCCAGATTACAGGTGAGTCCTATATGTGGAGGTTTTACTGCTTTATTTGCAGTCAGTGGCAACTGGGTGGAAGTGATTTTGCATGAGGAGAAACAGAGCATATGGATGAGGAGACTGCAGCATAATGCAGCACACAAGGAGTGTCAAGACACCAGCGGTTTCTTAGCAACTGTACACAGCAGGATATCACTCCCAAACCTTCTCTACTGTAGAATTAAAAAAAGAAATCCATGGCAGACGGTTGATCCCATGTAAGTTTAGACACACGGGACTAAGAGTTCCACACAATAAGACTGTGGCTGCGCCTTGAACCATACTATAAATGGAATGACTATCCAGGAGACATGTGTCCATCACAGAGCCACACGTGCAGACAGACACCAGCAGATGCTCACACTCACACAGTGAAAGTGTGAAATAAGACCACAGGGAGGAACAGTGAGGCAACACCTTCAAATGTAATCTGTGTAAATGAACATTTTCCCTGCTTTGCCTAGTAAATGACCTTATAAAAAATAGGTTAACAAATGTAAAATAATTTCAAGTTGTCATACTGTGCATTTTCCTCGTTTTTAACTTGTTAATAAAGCCACTTATTTTCCTGTGATATTTAGGAATAGTGTGAAAATGAGTAAATTCACTGCATTAGTTTTAAAATAAGGATTTTAAATTAAAAATGGAATTGAATCCACTCTGCCCTGGGCATATTTCCGCTCACTCTTATGGATATTTTTTGGTATCGTCCTTTCTTACTAAACCGTTCCATGCAGCCCACATATAATGCACAGAGGCCAAGGTCACAAAACAAGTAGTTAAATCCATATAAAAAGTAGGTTGCCTTTATTAGAAGCTGGGAAACCAAAGCATTATCAACATCATCAGTATGAATACTTTGTTTTATGAGACCACAATATTGCCATTGCATTTACCAGCATCATCATTTTTTCCACAACATGCAAAAGAATGAGTTCAGTGTTCCTATTTCCACACCACTGAAAAAAAAGCTTCTCCACACGAGTCTTCTGCAAGAATCACAAATCGTCTTACATGTTTGCATTGTCAGTACATACGAAGGGAGACAGAAAACAAAAAAACTTCCAGAAATATTACAACACACAAAACCATAGAATGGTAGAAAGAGGAGAAATTCACAGCCTTGTGTCTCCTGTGAGATGACTGTGAGTGCCTTCAATCGTGCCCCGAGTGCTGCGATTCACCTGACCGGCTGAACCTACTGCAGAGCACTCAGAGCTTCACATGGGTAAAAACCATTGTCTCCCCCCGCCCTTTGTTTTTATTTTTAAAATCATGCCCAATTGTCTCAAAATCACATTAAGAACTGTGTGCTAACGTACACATAAAAAAGACCCGCAGTAAACTGCTGACAGTTTATAAACAATCACATGTGCTTTTGAACCAGAGACTAGGTTCAAGTGAGTCCAAAGACAAGCAGAACAGCTGATAGTACTACTGCTGTAGTCGTGGGGTCAGTCTTTCTCCTGACTAAAGCCTAGTGGACACTACTTCTCTACACCTGTCTTCCCCCTTTTGAGATCATTTATGGCTTTGGATGTTTACGTTTGGATCACACAATTTCTTGTACATCTTCTATAAACAAGTTTGCAGCTTACGACAAAAAAAACCTTCAGATTACATTCCAATGCCTCTGTGTGAAACCCAAGTAGCTACTGAAAAGTCAATTCAAATTAAGGCATTAATAGACAAATGAATGTCATACACAAAGTGAGCTGCCCAGTAATATTATTAAAACCAGTCCAGCCTCAGTATACTACTAGTCCTCATGTAAAGAAATGTACCAGCTTGGCAAACACACGAATAACCGAGAGTTGGAAAGTACAAATAGGCATGGATAACAACAGTGAGCGTCAAGCCGGGGGAACTGAAATGAGGGAGGAGAGAGAAGAGGGAAGCGTTTCAGCTGTAGTAAACAGGTCAGGGATGGCTTGTCGAAGCACAGAAAACAGAGTGATAGGGTCAACTTTTTCTTTAAAATCAGGATACATTTTATTTCTTTTCTTAAAAAACAAACATTACAAAAAAATCTGAATAGAGAATTAGAACAACAAACCAACAGGAGAAAAAATAACATTCAATTTTACCCTCCTAAAGTTAAGAAAAAAAAGGGGAAACATCTCTCGCAATTCTTAAAAAAGTTATAAGGGTGCCTGGCACAACAGGACCAATGAGAGGAGGCTGCAGCCACAGAGGAGGGGGCGTTGGGGTGAGCTGTGAGAAGAAAGCCAACATACAGCAACGTAAACTGTGTCAGAAAGCCAATTGGTGATGGGGAGCAAGGCCACACCCACTGACAGGAAGTACCCTACAGGCATACATAAAAAACACACACATGGAGTCTGGAAAAGATTTGATAGTGGCAGTCAGACAGTGACCCCCCCTCCCCGCACTGACAGTAAAATACCTCAGACCGTTTGATCAGACACACAGCCTTGATTAAATTGAATCATTTTCAAAGTAATGCACGTTACTGTCCTGCATAGCCACACAGTAGTTCAGGACACGAGTGATATTTGAAGAAAGAGAAGAAAAAAAAAGTCACTGCTGCGTTCACCAAAAGTAAAACTGTACAGGTTTCATAAAGAGACTAAAATAAAAATGGAAGCTGTCCTGTTAAAACACGCTCCTGGTTTAAAAGCACGTGTACCAGTGGAAAAAAGGCGTCGGCCCTACCTGTAGTGGCTTCGCATTTACAGCGCTCTAGTAAAGTTTGCCGAGGACAGATGACAAGAAGCAACAGACCTCTGGAATTGTAAAAAAAAAAAATCCAAAACTGACATTTACACTGCAATAATGAAAAGTCTTGAACTAGCCAGGAGAAGTCAAACGTAAATGTTAATATATATGATGTCAATGTTCATGATGGTTGTGGGTGGGGCTGAATGGGACGCAAAGGAAAAGAACCAAAAGTCCAAACCATTGAGCCAGGACACCGGGGGAGAAAAAAAAAAAACAAAACCAATAAAAAAAGGAGAAAAAGACAGAAGGACACAGAAGATGGGCTTCAAATGTGTACCATCTTCTAATCTTCTCCAGAGGGGACCTCTTCCTCTGAGCCGTCCTCCTCCTCTTCATCTTCTTCTTCTTCCTCTCTTGCTGCAGCCTCCTTCGTTGTTTTGGGGACAGGGGACTCCTCTTTTTTCTTGGTCTCCTCCTCCTCCTCCTCCTCTTCCTCCTGGGGACTTTCAGGCTCCTCCTCCTCCTCCTCTTTGGGCGAGCTCTTCTCCAGGGCCTTGGTACTGGGACGCCCTTTCCCCCTTCCTTTCATTGGGCTGGGTGTCACTATAAGGACAGAAAGACGGTGATTCCCGTTTTCAAAAAAACAAAACAAGTGGCGTTGTAAGACACCAGTGTTTCTTTCTGTAGCTGCTGGAGATTGAACATTGATTGAGCAGTTGATTTTAATCAATTATCCAATGAATACAAAGGATTTTCCATCACAAATTCAGTTCCAGCTGGTTTGTACTGCTGCAGTACGATTGGATGTCTCACCTGTTGCCTTTAGTCTAGGTTTGGGGCTTTTCTTCTCTTTCTTGTCCAGCCGTCCTCGTCTGATCACCTTCTTGCTTTTCTTCTTTGAGTGGCCGTAATCACTGTCATCGTCGTCCTCCACCATGAAATCCTCGTCACTGCCAGACTCATCGGCTGCAGGGAAAACAGAGTCACATCACATCTCTGTCTGCTTATTGTGGCTAAAAATAATCATGATTATTGGATGAAAAGCAGAGGTTTTTGTTTTGTTTTCCAACAAGGTGAACTTTACTGTCTGCCTTAGTGTCAACAATGTTTTAATCTTTCAAGACCATTAGAGTAACATGTACAACGCCGTGTACAACGAGTTAAATGACATCATATTGGCCTGACAAAGTTAAAGTCCATCGTTTCACAGCCAATATTCTTCCATTTGACTTGTTCTTTAAACCAATCATTAACAGTGACACCAACGTGTCAAATGTGCCTGACAGTGTTCTCCTGGGCCAGGACCTAAAATGGCTGCAGCAGAGGTTCTCTGTGGCCAACAGCTGGAGTCATGTCTCAATCTGAGTGGCTGTGAAATGGGAAAAGTACATACGATCCATGTAGGCTTCCTCTTGCCCTTCATGCTCCTCCTCCTCGCTGCCTTCATCACCCAACAGGATCTCTCTCTGTTTGGACACAGCCTTGGAAGCTGCCTGGCGCACTGTACGCTTTCGACTCACTTCCTTTTCGTCATCACTGTCATCTGTTAAAAAAAAAACAACACATTTACTTCTTTAATCGGACTTGGCCTGTTCTGTACAAAATAACAAATACTTGATTGATTAAAACTCCTGATTGACATATGTGGCTATTATTATTTCCTATTGGTAATACTATGCAGATCAAACACAGGTTCATTTATTCACGGTTATGTGGGCAAACACTGCTACTACTATCATGTCCAGCTGACTCCCACTGACCACGGGGAGAAATCAGCTGCACACTCTGTATTCTAGTGTTCCTTAAAACTTGGATGAAGGATAAAACATTAGACTGCACGTCAGTTCTGAACGTCTCAAGAATCCCAAACAAGGAAATCCAGGATCCAGTATTTGAGGTACAGGAACATTCATTCCAAATGGCTGAATATTGGTTGTAGAACATCCTTGGGAAATAAATAATAATAATAATAAAACTGGCTACAAAAAAAAAATGACACCACGTTATACTAATGAAGCCTTGGAAGTTCTTCATGCCATATTGACACCTACAACCAACATTATCGTTGCAGTAAGGAGAAGGAAGAAAGTAAAGTGACCTGCTGCCCGTTTCCTCTTGGGTCCTCTCTTGCTGGGCTTCTCTGGCTTGACCTTTTTTCCTTTTTTCCCCTTTTTTTCTTCATAATCACTTCCTCCGTCTTCGTCTTCCTCCTCTCCAAAATCATTGTCTTCATCATCACTGCCAAAGTCATCTGCAGAATAAAATTGCAGAAGCAGAGTGAGTGTGCTGCTCTATTCTGAACAGAGAAGAGCATTAAGAAAAGCTAAAGTATTTTACCTGCTGAATAGTTTTTGGATTTTGAGAGCTTTTCATCAGAGTCCTCACTGAAGAAATGAAAGAGAGAGAGAATACAAATCATCATTAGGTTTGACACATTCAGGCCAGGTTAAACCTTTAGCTTTAAGATGAACTATAAAATGAACGTCCTGCTTCATTACTAAAACCAAAGGCTAATGTCTTTGTCAGTGCAGTTATTATCATGTCATCGTGTCATCAAATATGTTTGGCATCTACAGTATGACTCTTACTGACAACAATAATCATTTAATTGCTTCTTTGAGGCCACTAATACACTCTGAATAGCCAGTGCTGTGTACTGTGAGTTATTCAGCCAATAACCAGCAGCACCAGAACAGGACAATCCAGGTATAACCAGGAACTAACCTGTCATCCTGTGAATTCTTTGATCGCTTGTGCTTTGGCTCTTGTGGGGCTGCTCGCACCTTCTTGGGCTTATTGTCAGCATACTCCTCATCTAGAGAAAGACAAAAAAACAGTTTCAAACTTTTATTATTATTGTTTGTTTAACTGTGACACCAACGTGGTGTCCAGTGATGGATTATTGAGCAGTATTAGAACACATAACTTCATAACTGGTCTACACACCCTGATCGAGTTAACTGACATAAAAAATGGTGAGAGCAGAACATTTGATCGTTTGGCTGCCATACTTGCCTGCATCATCAGACTCGTTGAATTGCGAGTAGTTTACCACCTTCCTGTTCCTGTGAAGAAGATAAATACATTTAGTTACATTTCCATACATCATCATACATCTCTGTGCTTACATCTGATACCGCCATGTCAAATGACACAGGCTAACAATTACGTTATCTCATTTTCAGTAATTCAGCTGAAGATATATTTACAGTTATGTCTAATTTGTCATAGTGCACACCGGATATCATACATGACAGCAGGCCACAAACACCATGAAGAAACTGCACGACAAGAACAGACTGATGCCAATGTTTGGGTAAAGATTCCGAAGTTTCCACTATTTTCTCATTGCACTGGTATTTTATGCTTTGACCTCTTTATTTTACATTTCAGTATGCAAGTAATGCAGTAACAAGTTTTGTCAGGAAAATGAAATAGCAAACACCTGATTGTTGGAGTATATATATAAATAAATAAATATATATATATATATATAAATTAGATAGTGGCAGCAGACAGAGCAATGGCTGCTGCAGCAGCACGAAGGTGACAAGACCAGGTTAGTTCTCCTCATCTGCCCTGCCTCTGTAGGAGTGGCCTATGTATTTTCTTTGTCTCACCTACTACTTCAAACACTGGATGGCAGAAAATGAAGAGAACACCCCCCCCCCTGTTTTTTTTCTTTTTTATTCATACATCTTCATATTTGCATAAGTTCAGTACAAACTTTTCTTAACACATGGACGTTACCTTTCTCTAATACTAGATGAGATTGGATTAAAAATTACAAATCCCACAAGGAAATTATCATCAGTTATGGAACAGAATACATATGTTATTTAAGGTAAATCACTAAGAATATCAACACAGTCGAAAAGGACGGAGGGTAAAGCCTTTCTGCCTTTGGGGTTCTAAGGCAACGTCAGTGGTGAACCAAATACCTAGAAGAAAAGATAAAAATCATTACAAGCATTGTTTATGCATCTGTTCTTTAATTCACTGCAGGAAGCCACCGCACTAAAGCTAGAATGAACAACTTTCTTTACAAGAACTTTGTCATGTTTATATTACAGTGGGTTTACGATTGATTTCTAACAACTGAATGGTAATGACTGTTTTTACAAGGCTAAGATAAGATAAAAGGGTTGTAACAGTATTTGATCAGTGAATAGATGAAGACACCAATGCCAATCTCTAGCACATACCTGTTCACTGGCCCCTCTTTAGTGATGTAAATCTTCTTGTCTTTGAGGTCTTGTCTTTGTGTAGAAGGCAGTCGCACGTTTACTTGATTTGGAATTATGTCTGTCGACTTTTTGTGAGGCCTCATTACCATTGGGATTCTTTGGAAGTCTCAGTTCACCAGGTCTAGAGCTTCTTATCAGGCCTGCAGGTTACACTACCCCCTCTCACAGGGACAACCGTGGCCAGTCTACTGTTAACACCCACAGCTGTGATTGGTTGGTGGTTGAAACCATGAAAAAATATGGTGCCTCAAAGTGAGTGATTACTGAGACCCATTGTTCAATAAACTCAATAAAGTGATACAATAGATAGAACTTTATTATCCATTGTATCAATTTATTTATTATGCTCCTAAAGGTTCATTTGATCATTAATGCTAGCTGAAGACAGAGGTCTGTATGTTATACTTTAAGTTCCTTTTATGCCATGGAAACCTTGCTTCCTGTCCATGTGGTTTTACCATTCAACCTCTGGACAGGAGGTTCATATTATATATTATCATTCCCACTTGATATTTTTGATTTGATTTTAGGTTAAGTTCATTTTTGGACATTACAAATACTATGTTGGTAAACATCGTCTTTTGGGGATGTTGTCAAATGACTTGACAAAAAATGTATTGGTAAAACATCATAATGCTTTAATTTATATTTTCATTTAGATAGCCTAATGTTAATTCAGAAATGTATCTCACTAAATATACAGTAAAGTTGACAGAACTGTGAGGTCTTAACAGAAGTCAACATACAGGCATCTGCTATCATGCTTTTTAAAATATTTTTTTCTAATAATTGAATTGATGAGTGAAATTTTGTTTAACTATTAAAATATAAACGGAGTTGGCCTAATCTGCTGGTTATTTCATATGCGTCTATTATCCCACATGTAGCAGTTAATGGTGTTACCAACCCATAGTAAGCACTTGCTTTACCCCTGGAGTCGAATTTCTCCACAGAGGCCATCATGTTTGATCGCCATGTTTTTTTTACGAGTCCACTACAGACAAAAACTTTGACTATTTGGATGATAACAGATGGGTGGCATGTGCTCGAGCAGCTGCTGGGACAAAAACAATGACACGTATAAAATCATACACCAACAAAAGAAAAAAAACTAAAACAAAAAATGTATCGAATATGGAAATGCATTTTAAGTGTATTTTAAACATGCAAAAATATAGCAGAATATTTGTGTAAATTGTGGTGTTTGTTTTAATTTATGTAAAAGGGATGTTTTTCCCACCAGAAACTGCACTGCGCTTTCGACAATATTTCCAAAATACCAATCCTCCTACAATAGCTAAAGACGGCGTGTAGAAAATCGCTTACAGTCAATTGTATTTACAAACATCACGACGCAGATGGTTAAATTCGAAATGCTCATTTGGTTTAGTTTTTTTAAAATTATTATTGTGGATTAAAAAGACAAGGCGCTTCCTGTGTTACAATGGATACGGAGTTTGTGTAGTACTCCGCCTTCCTTTACCACCAGCATGCAGTGCTAATTTACTGCCACTGATCCATGTGTAGCCCGTTTTTCCTTGCCCGTATCTTTTGTTGGCCGATTAAAAAAAGAAGAAAAAAAAATCACAATAACATTGTGTTCACAATCCTGCGTATTGTAATGGAAACTTCGGTACTCTGTGCCCAGTCTGCGCGGCTAACCGATCAAACCCAGAGGCCGAACACAAGCTCGTCCAGCAGTTTCCTCTTTGGTGTGGAGCTCCTAGCATTTACGAGCTCCCTCTGGATGAATGGGTAGCCATATTCTCATTCTCAGTCAGAGGGAAAATATTAACAGGCCTGGTTGAACTGAGCTGCAACACGCAGCTGGTTAATGCAAGCCAACCGATTTTCTGCTTGGCCTACATAGCAGCCAACAATGCACATCATGGATGCATTTAAAAGCGTGATAGACCAGACACGGCGGCGGGCTGCGTATACTTCGACAAGACATGGCGATCAGTCCCTGCTGCTGGTATCCATGTTAGAAGGACACGGTGCACACAGCAGAGCAGAGACACCTACGCATACGTTCACATTATTTTTTCATGAAATACACACATTGCCTATTCAGAAAATCGAATGAAATGTGCACGGTAACTGCGACGCCTGGCAACACGCTGCTGATGTTAACGCGCGTGGAGCATAGGACAGATTTGGCCCACTTACCTCACTGGCCTTGACATTTTGCTGGAATACTGTAGAGGTTAAGGATGGGGGAAGGAAAAAAAAGCACCGGGGAAAAGAAATACAGATTCCCGCTCTGCAAATCACCAAGCGTAGCGAACCTGGCGCACAACTCCGCTGTCCAAGCGAGTGCGTAAAAATAAAAAGACGAAAGAGGCTTCTCCCCCAAACGCAAATGTTCCTATGTGTTTATATATTTTTCTAGATATTTTTTTAACCTACGGTTACACAAAATGGTGAATAAAACAAACTGAAACTGCAGCCTTCGTGCAACCAAACCATGGATTTGAGGGGTGGGTCCTTACCAGTAGCTCCGCCCTCACTAGGCTCTGAGAGGAGCAGCCTGGTACCATTCTATCCCCATTAGTGGGTTTGAACGACACGTGTTATTCTGATTGGAAGATTCACACGTCCGTTAGAAAGACTAGGCCACAGTCGCCCGCCTCTGACAACTAGCTTGGTTGAGTTAGCACTGTTAAGAAAACAAGAGGGCCCAAGGTTGGATACAAATATTTAATTTGGTGAGGGTCAAAAACGACCACATCGCAATTTTTTCATACTTGTGCAGTGTGTTGAACATAGCACCTACAGAAGAGAGATCCTGTTTATTTTAGAAATTTAAAAAATGGCGACTGTTTAGTACCAGAGATTTGCTCTGTACCGACTCACCTGGCTAGTACTGCAGTAAGAGATCAACTGCAATCCATTGCATTTGTGGCCACCGTGCAGCTAAAAACAAAATTATTCATGCTCGTGTAGTGTTTAGGTAATAATTTTTATTTTCAAGTCTCAAAACTTCAGTGTGACCCTTGGCCCCTGTTAAATAAAGAACATTGTCATAAAAATCCAGAACCAGAAGGCTGACATGGTTTTCACCTTCGGTTTTTAGGTAAGTAGTTTTGTTTGTACGTATTTCCTGTGGTTTACCTGTATTTTTCTTTTCTTTTTTTTCAAACAGGAGCAAAGTCTCTCGTGATATACAACTCACTAAACCTACAATATATCATGCTATGACGTCAACTAGTCAAGTTGACTTAGACTAGTTGTGGTGGATGTAATTGATATTTTCAGCCATTCAAACAAACAGCAGTAGAAGGGAATGGTTTGAAATAATCTGTAGTCACTGAAAACAAAGAAAAAAGTGTATCATTCGCAGCAGCCAACTCTGCTGTTGTCACAGTTTTAGTCACAGTTCTTGGTTTTAGATCCTGAACACAAGCACAACAACGCTGGCTGGGCAAACGCTCGTTAGGTGTCTCCCTATTTAGCTTACATTCACCAGTCAAGGCTGGCTTGTGCTAACAGCTAATTAATGTGAAAATGGTGGAAACAACAGAGTGAGTTGAGTTCATTGGCGTTGGCAAGTTTGTTCTTCTATTCATTATCATGGTTTCAATTGTATTTAGTTTGTTCAGCACACATGTATTTGTAGCTAATGGTTTGGTATGAATACACGTACTGTACCTTCACAGCTCTAATGTGTATTGTTACTATATTTACTAATGTTGTAAGTTTAAATCCTTTTAAATCCTATTAACCTGCCACTGCGTCAAGTACATTGTGTTGTTTAATAACTTGTTTATTAAAACATTGGAAAGTGACACTTGGTTTAGCTGAAACCAGGAGACAGAGACAGAGAGGATAACATTATTTTCTGTTTATTTTGTATTGATATATTTTCTGATACGACAATGGTGTCAGTTTGAAGTCGCGTTGTTTGTTTAGCCTTGTGTTAATAAGCATTTTCCTGCTACTTCCACCTCACTGTGGTTTGGGTTAAGCTCACACACACTGCCTGTCAACCAATTACCCACAGAGCCGTGTCGACTATTTAACAGAGCCTTGCAGTTCACTGCATATGTATTTAAAGCCAACCCAAAGAAGTACTGGTGACAGCACTTGATTGGCAAGTACACAAATGAAAATTCTCCTACATGTATTAGTTTGTAAACAATGGTATCTGGACTTCCTAGCATCAAATATAAATGTCCCATCCATCCACTCCCCAGGACCTCTCTGCCTTAGGGCTTACAGGCTTACATTACATTAGTAATGAAGGCTCCGGAGGAATATGTTGGTTCCTCCTCAGCTGCAGGAATCATCTTTCCATATTCCTTTCCAGGTGGTGATGTTTTTTGTTGAAAAGAAGTAAAAGTCTCTAGGACTCTGTATTGGGTTAGATCTTCTTCAAAGGAGACTTTATGAATGCTCACCACTTAGTCAGAATAAGGGAGGAGGACAAGGAGGGCTTCCTGACGTAAGCTTGCAATTTGTAGTAGAAATTCCTCTGATACGGTTATCTGTGCCACCTTTCCTCAGAGGATGATGTTGAATAATCAGCTTAATCCACGTGCCCTTCCTCTTCCAGTCCGTCCTTACAGAATGGCTGACTGCACATCGAGTCATAAAATCTGGCTCTTTCTTTTATCTTACTCTGCCCATTCTCCAGCTTATCAACCCTGTGACTGTATAATCTAAACATCCCTGTCCTCCAAATCCCCCGCTGTTACAAGTCACTGCATTACTGTAGGTCTGTTTTCCACAGCCCCGTGGTCCCCTCCTCCAGACTTCCTTCATCACTCCTTAAAGTGGTCCCTGGGTGGGTGTCACTTTGTCTCTTTATTTCCCCACAATTGTTTTCTTCAGTTAGCATACCAAAGATTGTGTTTGTGCTCTTTTAGTTCAGCAGTCCAGTTTTTAAACCTGTGTTTATTGGACATCTGGACGTCCTGCACATTTGGTACAGTAGGTGAATATTTGGACTGATTTAATCATGACCTGACATCTGGCTCTTCCCCTGGAGCTGGTTAAATGTCTGACTGAAACATTACCGACACTAAGTGCTGGGAAGCTGTCTTGGCTGAAGTGGTGAAATGAAATATGTGTGGGTACTGATTAAATGCATTATGGTCTGTGACACAATGCCATTCAAGTCTTATAGTATAGTATGGTCACTGCTACACACACACATAGATCTATAGTCATATAGACTGTAAATATGTTTTTATTTTATTTGCTCATGATCTACCAGCAAGCACTCCCTTCTACTGGGAGAATCCCAATCTACTTATTGATAACAATGCATCCCTGCGCCCCTCGTGGCCCAACCGTGTAAAACTGAAAGTTTTTTTCGTGCCCTTCAGGTGGTGCTCACGCCCCAAATGTGGGCTGCATTCGAGTACTCAGTCTGTTGGGCATCACAGAATTTCCCCTTTGATAATAGTAATTGTAAGCAAGACAGAGACAGTTTTAATCACAGAAACTAAGATATGGTGTGTTTTTGTTTCTTTTTGTGGAAATAACCACACTGACTGTGAAAAAGCCAATGAGTTGCAGCTTGACAAAAATGTATAATTTATAAATTAAATAAAAGAATTTACATTTTTTCAAACAATGTACTAATAATTTTCTCACTTCATTATAATTTGCAATATAAGCTTTACAGCACAGTGATGTGTGATGTATCAGTATCTGGTGAGCTAGAGAAACTGCTGTGTCATTAGTAGACTGTGTAAAAACAAGAAACCATTTTCTGTATCATTAGAAAAATAATGCTATTTATGCATTTGTTTTTTCAGTGTGAGTCGTTTGAAGAAGCTACCTCCATACCACCACCCAGCTCTGACTTCCACCTTCTACATCAAACAGACTCGAGACCCACCTTGACGTAGCCTAAGTAACTGGGAGATGGTGTTTCCAAGGCAACAAGGTAAGTCAGTCTCACCTCTTAAATTGTGGAGTGTGTGAGAATGTCTGAACCCATCTTCTTGACAGCTGTGGAATGATTCAAAAGTTCTTCATTCTGCATTGGGAGAAAAGTTCTCACACCGCAGAGTGGTGTCCTGGTTATGACTCATCTGCGTGTGGCAGAGAGAAAACTATACAGACTATCTGCCTGAATCTTAAATCTGCAAAGCGAAAAAACGGGAATTGTCGCCACCTACCGGTAAAAACGTGTTCCCCAAATATATATCTCATTGTTTTGGTGGTGGCAGGAAAGGTGGAAATAATTTCTGTATGTGCTCACGTACAGTATTTACATCATGTTCTGAGGTGTTTTGCTGTGTGATGACGTCACTACTGCAAGTAATTTTCCATTCATAACGTCCAGACAGTCATTATGTTAACATATATTATGGTGGTTTTCTATTCAGAGTTATTATCAGTCCCTGCTGGTCCAAACTGTAGAATAGTCATTGTACATATTTCTGGTTTACCCAACCATATGGTGTCTAGTCTGATTTTTTTTTTAAATCAAGAAACAAACAAAAAACAAACAACAAAATACAGATATAGTTTATGATGATATTGCTTATTTCCTACAAAAAGGTAATTAAATTAGATGAATATTCACACACACACACATAAAGTTGTTAGTATTTCTTGTCATGTGTTGGTTCCCTGCATTTTAATATATTTTTTATTAAAATTCAGGCCAAAAATAATTCAGAGGCTTAAAATTGAATAAGAAAAGACAACTAAATGTTTCAAAGTGCAACAGATGAAGGGTCACCTGTTATACTACATATATCTACAGTATATATATATAGAAGAAGTTAATGAAGTGAATCCACATTGTAAAGACCACTCATAGAACTCCTCGTCACTACCACGTGTTCACCTGAAGAGGGCAATGTAAGCCTTCGTTTTGCTCACGGCCCGACCTATCAGGCATAGAGTTAATTCCAGACACTTGAGCCCAAAGTATGTGCATGTGTGTGTGAGAGATTGCTAATGTGTGTGTGTGTGTGTGAAAGCCTGGTGGTGACCTGACTGTGGCACCCACAGTCGCTCGGTGGTTGCGTGACAGTCTGGAATTTGTTCCCACTCAGACAGAGAAAGGAAAAAAAGAGAACAGCGTTGTGGTCGTCCATAAATGGAGCACCTTATCTCGCCTACTGGCACACTGATTGTTCTTACACGCCATCCTCCTCCACTTTGGAGTTGATTCTCTAATTTTCTCTGCTGTTCTCAGATGAGTAGCTGTAGGCAAGGCTGTAGATAACTGGAGCAGGAAACACGGGGAGTGTGAGAGAGATAAATGAGGAAAAGTTGTGTGAGGCTTAACTTAATTCCCAACCTTTGATTTATGTAAAGCACAGTGTGTGTGTGTGTGTGTGTGTGTGTGTGTGTGTACAGGATCTCGTGCCACGGGCAAACACGCAGACAGACTTGAAGACGTTCAGTTTTGTTAAATGTTTGATGAGACAGTCAGGTTGGACCACATTAGTCTGAAATAATTAGGATTTAATGGATATGCTTAAACAGATGTATATTTTGTGATATATTTGCTCTCCATTCTACAGAGTGTCAATATCACATTAATACTGTATAATATATTTCTTCAGTAACATGTGGCCACAGATCAGTATTTAAACTACTGTTTATTTCCTCTCTACGTCACGTAGAAACCTTTTCAGTGAAGATTTCTGTGTAGGCGTAGGATTCTGGGCCAACAGCTTCCAATTCCATGGAACCCTTAATCGCCATCGCCTTTTCATTTAAAATCACATGAGATATTTTGACCGAGTATGAGAAAGTAAAAAAGAAACAACTAAAACTAAATTCACTATTTATAAATTCACTATTTTATAAAGATTTTATAAACTTTACTTTTCATATTTTCCAACCTCACTCATTAAACTAAAACCAACCTAAATACTGTTGAGATGTTTGACAGTGTTGCAACAATTAAACATTTTATAAAGTTTATTTTTCATATTTTCCAACCTCACTCATTAGATCAAAGAGGGAAAAAAATCATGTGTTCTTTAATTAAAAATTTAAAAAGCCAAATATTTGTAATGGCACCAGTAGGTCAACAACTAAACCCTGTAACAACAGCTGACAAATTACAATAACTTGTTGTTAATTTGACAAATATTCACATTTTAAAGGTTAGATAATGTGTATCTTGGAGAAATATCACTGTGCTTTTATAGTATAATAGTGCAGAGTTTTCACACTTCATTTGTTCTAATGTAACTATAGGTTTTTAAGCTGGCCACATGTTTACCTTTGAATTTTGGTTTTCATATTTGCTCTCTATACCAGTTGTTACTAACAGAGTAAGTTTTTTTATTACGTTTGCAATGTTATCCACCATTTTGTAATTAAAATAAAAACAATAACAAAAATAATATCAATAATCAACAACATCGAAATTGATAATATAAAATAAAATAAATATAGATAACATTTATTATTGAAATTCTATTGACGCACACGCTGAATCTGAATCATAACTTTTTAAATTCTGGTTATTCACCTAAAAACATGCATTTGTTGAAAAAAAAAAGACTTTGTTTCATATACTAAAACAATGTACTGTACAAAAGAAATCTACTTTAAATATTCAAACCAAAGACGAAAAGTTGCACTCAAAAAACATTCAAATAAATTTAACTTCAGTGATCAACAAGATAAGGGTAAAAAAAACAAACAAACAAACAAAAAGGAAATATGTAATAAAATATATTCATATTCAATTGTACAGCCTTCTTTTCTCCATTACATTTAGTATTTATAAATATAAATATTTATAAATAAAATATAATCAATTATATTACATTATATTCTCTGCCAATTCTTTATTGTTCATTCATTCAAAACATTTTATATATTTTAATTTGAAAACACTTTTTAAGAGCCATGATTTTAAGATAGTAACACAACAATTTTACATATTTTAATTTGAAAACACTTCTTAAGAGCCATGATTTTAAGATAGTAACATGATAAAAATCTAATAAAAAGTAGAACATGTAAATATAAATATATAAATTAAATATAATATGGCTACCATCCGAGCATGTCAAGTCTTACTAATAAAAAAAAAGTCTTATCATAGTAATGAAGTAAATATAAGTCTACAGAGATGAAAAAATACAGTGAATAAATACAAAAAATAATAAATTCATACAACAATTATATATTCAAATATTTTAATTATGTGTGTACTGATTGAATGAGCCCTGTATTATTTTTATTAATTGCAGTTTTTTACACCTTTGGTGTTTGATTTTACAGGATTTAACACTACACAACAGATAAGTTCAATTAAACAGGTTCACATAATCCTTCTTAGTGACACTGAAAGTCCAGCGGACATTTTCCTTCGCAGTCAGAGAGGAATAGAGAGTGGTTTTTAACCACAAAGTACCTTTAATAATCAACACTGTAAAAACTGCACCTGCTTTAAAACCAATGTCGTATTAATGAAGCTTAAAGTTCATGTCTTGTTATTGTGAATCATTTATACCAGTTGGTCTTAAAATGAAAGGAGCCAAAGGTTTTTCTTTTTATCCCATAAAATATCTACACGAACAAACAAACGAAATAATTGAAAATAAGTTTTCCTAAAGAGCGATATCATAAATCATTCGTTTCATACATAGTTGCAGGTCGGACTTTGGGGATTGTGGTGTGTGTGTGTTCGGGGGCTGGGAGTTCATGATCCCTGAGTTAGAATGGATGTTGAACAACTGACACTGAAGAAAAGACTGTGTTTATGAGGATCACGAAGCCCAAAGGTCTGGCTCTTCATCCTGATTTACACTGTTCTCCCTTTAACTGATGGTTGTTCTTTATAGTCCAGGCATGGCCAACCTGCGGCTCGGGGGCCACATGGGGCAAAAGTTTATGTTTGTGTTTTTTTTTTACGCTATGTCAAGCTCATGACGATGTGGCGTATAATACTTAGGGAAAACCTAAGTATTGATCTTTGCACAGATGATAAGATATATAAGGTATACAGGAAGTTTTAACAGAGTGGGAGAGTTTTATTTTATTTTTGTAAGTGATGGGACAGTTCATCTGTGCTCATGTATATCATGTGGCTCTTTGCAGTAACACAAAAATTGTGGCTCTTAGCCTCTTGACTGGTTTCCCTGTTACAGTCCATTACCAAAATATATATATATTTTTTCTCAGCTATCAAATTAGATAAATTGTTGCTAATCTCTTCACAACAATTAATACATGTAAACATTTATATACTTTATTTGTACTGATTTGCAAAAGTGGGTTATCAAATTTATATCTAACAAGATGTATGTAAAATGTATTTGAGAAGTGGTTTTGTTTAGTTTAGAGCAGTGGTTCTCAAACTGTGGTACGCGTAACACCAGTGGTACGTGAGCGCGCTCTAGTGGTATGCAGGGAAAATTCATATTTTCACATTTACATTTTCAGTTGAATAAATCTGAAACATACCACGTACAATTAATACAACATTTAAACATAAACATCTCTCCTGTGGTGGAGCTAACTACTCAGAGAGATCAGTGTTTTCTCAGGTGGTACAGAGGATAAGAAGTTTGAAAACCACAGGTTTAGAGCACTCAGTAATCTAACAAAAATACTCCAATATTTACAGACGTTGAAAAGCAGCAACAATTACACTTGTCTTGTGTTTTTCAAAGATGCAGAGTTAGAATAGAGTTCTTTCCTTCTGACACCGGACACTGATGTAAACCTGAGATTTGTAAACAAAGTTGGCGATGAGACGCTGGCCCCTGATTTGAAAAGCGGTTTAATATCAGCTGTTGATGGCGGAGAATCCAAACATTAAACGTGTGTAAGAACAGAGGCAGAGTGAGGCGTGTGTTCTTGACAAGTCCTTTCTTTATCTGCGAACCGAGCGGCGCTGCCTGTTGTATGACTTGAAATGTAAATAGGTTAGACATTATTATTCCGCCGTCGTCCCGT